ATTTGTCCTTTTGTGACTGGGATATTTCACTCAGCATAATGTTCTCCAGTGTCAACCATTTTAAATAATATTGCATGAGTTCCTTGTTTTTTAATGCAGCATAGTATTCCCTTGTGCGAATATACCATAGCTACTCTAGTCATTCATTTGTTGAGGGGCGTTTAGAGCTCTTGTATATAGGGTCGCTATGAGTCGAAAATGACTCGATGGCACATAACAACAGCAACAGATCACTGATATATGGTTTGAACCACTGACCTTCTGGTTAGCTGAGCACTAAACCATCACACCACCAGGATTCCTAAGATGCGATAGCCATGGAGAGATGACATGTGAGTGACCTTATTACTACATAGAACGGTGAACGCCAACAGTAACTGCAGTGACTTGAGTTCAGGTCTAGGTTGTAAAAGATCCTGTGGCTTATTCTTAAGAGTTCAGATGCAGGGGAGCTCTGGTGGCCTAGTGGCAAGAAGCTGCACTGCAATCCCAGAGGAACACGGTTCGAATCCACCAGATGCTCTGCCGGAGAAGGAGGCGCAATATCCTCCTGTACCAGTCAGATCTGATTTGACGGTACATGCACACAAAATAATAATAAAGAAAAAAAAAAGAGTTCAGATGCTTGTTCTGCATGTGCTTCCTTTTGGGACCTTGCTGCCCTTGTGGAGAGGCCATGGTAGGTGCTTGGACGGCAAGGTTTAGAAGACAGTCTTGAGGTGCCAGGTATACTGCTGAAGGCGCCTTTAAAGCACCCACCCATTCAAGTCATTCCCAGGCAGAGCCCTAAATACTACAGAGAAGTGTTGTAGCTAACAGCGTCAGTGTGGAGACTAAGGTGAGATCCAGGCCATAGTCTCACAGTTGCTTGCTATGCCTCAGAGAGCTGAATGACTAGGAATGATGGAAAGAGAACTGATACCTTTGAGCTGTGGTGCTGGAGAAGAGTGTTGTATATACCATGGACTGCCAGGAAAACAAATAGATTTGTGCTGCAGAGTGTGAAGCCAGGCTGTTCCTTGGAGGCAAGGATTCTGAGGCTTTGTCTGACATACTTTGGACAGATTGCAAGGAGGGATCAGTTGCAAAGAGGGAAGTAATGCTTGGGAGGGTGGAGGGACCGAGAAAGAGAGGAAGACCATCAATGAGACGATTGATTTAGTGTCTGGGGTAATGAGTGTAGGTGTGTCAGAGACAGTCATGTTGTCACAGGATAGAGCAGATTTCAGGGCTGTTGTCCATAGGGTCACTGAGTTATAAGGACTCAGTGGCACATAACAACAACAACGTGTCTTGTCCCAGTTCCTGACCACAGAATGCACCAGCATCCACATGAACACTACTTCATTTGGAGTGATTATTTTATTCCGCAATAGTCAGTCAACTCTCAGAAAAACCCCTTTATTGCCAGTGAGTCAGAACCAACTCATCTGACCCTGTGTTGGGCTACAAGGCTGTAAAGCTGGAGGGAGAGTCTGTTTCCTAGAGAGTGATAGGCAGCTCGATGCCCTTAAAGCCACCCCTCTCTCGGCCTCCCTCAGTACTAGAGGGAGAACAGGCTGTGGAGCCCCTTAGGAGAGCCCCGAACACTGTATGTGGATTCCCCCCACAACGCCTGGTGTGTCTTTCCCCGGGTTGATGTGGATTCTTGCCGTGGCACCATAGTAGTCTTAGATATGGGTAGTTTTTAGGTGCCAACAAGTCGTCTGTGACTCACTCTGTGACTCTGTGGCCAACAGGACAAGTCCTGCACTGTCCTCATGATCTCTGTTCTGCTTGGGCATATTTTCGCAGTCACTGCGTGAATCCGTCTCATGGGGGGGGGGGTCTTCATCTTTCTTAAAGACCCTCTCTAAGCAGAGTACTCTTCAGGAACTGGTCCCTCCTCAGAACTTGTCCAGAGGATAGAACAGGTCTCACTTTCCTTGCTTCTCAGGAGACCTCTGGTTGTGTGACCATGTTATAAATACAACTGTTTCAAAACAAAACCCCGCACACACACCTGTCCATACACACATAGGTATGGAGAGGCCTGAACATCGTGGCCATGAGGACTGGCAGGACCCTTGCAGACCACTGTTAAAGAAGTGATTGTTGTGAGTCTTGATTTCTGTGCTGGCCCTAGTCTCTTAACAGCATCAGGCACTGCTTTCAGGGGTCACCTCAGGATGAAAGGGACTACTTCTGGCCCTTCTGTGTACAGTGGGACAGTGAGAGCACCCAATAGTGGCTTCTGTTGGGTTCACCAGGGACGACTTTTACAAAGGCGTGTAGCTCAGTGCTTGGCACGCAAGGCAGTTCACAGTCTATAAGAGAAAAAGGAGCAGTGGAAAAACGTTTTCACTGTGGCGTTGTGACTGTTGGTTTCTCTGCTGAGTCGTTTTGTCTCTGGTCCCCAGGAGCAGCAAGACCAGTTTCCACTTCAGAAGGTCCTGAAAGTGGCCGCTACCGAAAGAGAATTTGGCAACTACCTTTTCCGTCAAAATCGTTTTTATGACGCCAAAGTGAGGTATAAACGGGTAAGAATGCTTTTGAATGAAATAGAGTTTTAGACCCAGAAAATCTTTCCTCTGCATACTCTTCGTGGGCAACCATTAAGAAAAAGTCATGGAAAACCCCACATGCTGAAGGGTTAGTGTCTGGGAGAAGGGAACACCAGAACGTTTCTGGCGGCCTAAAGGTGAGGAGTTGTGGTGCCAACAAAAAGGCAGGCGGTTAGACCCTCTCGGCTGCCTGTGAAAACCCACCAGAGGGTCAGCTGTGAGTCCTTCCGACTCGACGGTACGCAATGAGAAGTAACAGCCCATGTTTTCATCTAAATGTTGGTTAACAGGTGTGTTCACGTTGTGACGATACATTGAGTTATGTCCTGTCTACGTGTGTACAGGTTTTGGTAAAAGTTCCTGAAGTTTATAACTAAAGGTTTTGAAAATGTCCACGTGAGGTCCTCTCGCAGCCAGTTCCTCTCCTGTTTACCGTCTTATTTCACATCCCTGTGACAGAATTCACCCCACACTGACTCCAGTCTAACCTCGCTGCTGGCCAGAGTTTGGCTGCTTCTCTGACTGCAATTTTCTGTTTCTTCTAGTAATTCATTCAGCATCGGCTTGTGAGCTTCCTGTGTGCAAGATTCTGAGCTTTTCTGCCAACAGCACCATTTCTCTGATACTTTGTCTAGTTCTTCCACTCTAGTGGCATCTGCTGCATCTGTTGTTGTACTGTCTAGTCCGAACTGACCCATAGCTGACCCTCCAGCCTATTTTCAGAGGCAGGAAATCGTATGGGAGGAGATTGCCTGTCTTTCTCCTGCTTAGCAGCTGGTGAATTTGAACTGCATTCTTTTACGTTGGCAGTACAGTTCTTTACCATTAGGCCAAGTGCCTAGTGGAGACCAGAAAGTTGTTTTTTGTTGGTGTTACTGATACTGTTTGGGCTTTGTCCTTGTCATTTTCTTGTTTGGTTTAAAATGAGCTGTAATTCCCATACAGCTTTAAGGTGAATTGTTGAGTAATCTTTAGCGTATCGACAAGGTTGTATCACGATGACCATTATCTAAGTCTAGAATATTTTCATCACCCTCAAAAAAGACACATGAGACCCCAGCCGTTCCTTCTGTCTCTACGTCTTTGCCTGCTGTGGACTGTGCTGTAATGCAGTCACTGACTCTGGCCTGTTGGGTCTGGCTTCTTTCATGTTGGGTTTATCCATGTTGGGTGTGGCCGGTGCTCTGACTTTGCCGTTGTCCCAGCACTTTCTGGTGGGAAGAGCAACTTTCCCCACGGAATGACCTCGGTTACTTGTCAGGAATGGACTGACCGTCGGCGTACGAGTGGATTTTGGTCCATCCTCTGGGGTTGACTGCACTGCATGTGAGTTCGCGTCCCTCCTGTCCTCCAGCTGCCCTTCCTCTCCGCAGGCCCTGATGCTCCTCTGCCGGCGAGCAGCGCCTCTGGAGGAGCAGCACCTGGTGGAGGCCGCCAGGCTGCTCGTGCTGCTTAACCTGTCCTTCACCTACCTGAAGCTGGAGCGGCCCGTCATCGCCCTGCGCTATGGAGAAAAGGCTCTGACCATCGACCAGAAGAATGCCAAGGCCCTCTTCAGGTGCGGACAGGTGAGTTGGAGGGCAGGCAGGGCCTTTTGAGAACAGATAGCAACAGTGCTCAGTATGGAGCATAGGATCCTGCATTTCCTGTGTGTGCTGTTACAACTCTGTCCTTCCTGACAGGCTTGTCTGCTCATGACCGAGTATCAGAAGGCCCGGGATTTTCTAGTCCGTGCCCAGAAGGAACAGCCTTTCAATCATGACATCAATAATGAGCTGAAGAAGCTGGCCAGGTGAGGCAGGTGGGGACTGGGGGAATGTGTTGTGAGGCAGCGCCACCTAACGCTGATTTTATGAAAATGCTCAACACTCAAACCCAGATGAACTGACACGGTCGCTTCCCACTCGGTACCCCCAGCCCACAAATAAGCACCTCTAAACAGAGAGGATGGTATGATTTTTTAAAAGTTTCTTTTTATTCAGGCATTCTTTTCTGTGTGCCACCAACTGAGATATTATCAGCTGATTGAAGGTGCTTTTTAGTTGTGATGAACACAAAGCTTTTCATTTTAATCCGTTTGAAATGCACAATGCAGTTGTTTTCATTCCTTTTAGTATGTTGTGTAAACGTCACCATTATCTACTCTCATCTCAAAGCACACAGTACCCTATCCGTCCCTCCCTGCACCCTCCCTGTCTGTCCCTCTTTGCACCCTATCCTCTCCTCTGTCATCAGTAATAGATTTTTGTTTGCATCTGCTTTTTCTGTTTTCTTTAAATGAGCTCATACGCATTTATCCTTCTATAACTGATTTCGTTCATCATAATATTTTAAGATTCATCTGTTTCACATCATGTATAAGAATCTCATTTCTCTTTTCGTTGTTGCCTGCCTTCAAGTCAGAAATGACTCATAGCGGACCCTCCAGTGCGTTTTCGGAGGCAGTTAAGCACACAGGAGGAGAGTGCCTAACCTCTGGCGGAGGAGCTAGCTGGTGCGTTCCTCTTTATGGCTGAGTGGTATTCTGTTGTATGTGTATACTCTTATTTATCTGCTGATGGCCCGGGTTCTTTCCACCTTTGGCGCCTGGGAACAGTGCTGCAGTGAGCATTGGTGTACACACATCTGTCTGAATCTTTGCGTTCAAGTCTCCTGAGTATATGTTGACCAGAGTGGGATTTGACATGCTGTTTAACTTGATGGGGGGACTACCACGCTCTTCCTCAGGGGCTGCCTCATTTCACATTCCCAGCAGTAGTGTGTATGGCTTCCAGGTTCTCCACACTGCTTGGTATGTCCCACTTCTCTCTTAAAAGTCATCAAGGGTATGATGTGGAGGTGTCTCATTGTGGGTTCTTTTCTGTTAGACCTGTATACATAACATTTGCCATTTAGTAATTTCCATTTGTTCTTGTCATTGACATTAAATGTGTTCATCCTGTTGTTCAACTGTCAGTAACTCTTTCTGCATCCTCTCATCACTTTTATCAGAAGCCCAGTGCCCTCTCGCATGTGCCCCTTCCTTCCCTAGTCCCTCACTTCTGGTAAACTGACTGGTGCACACGTGCGGGAGCTCTGGCGGCCTAGTCTGTAGGGGCTTGTGCTGCTCACCCGGGGGCCATTCCTTTGCTGGCTCCTCCCGTGTGAGTTTTGGCTTCAAAAACCCAGTGGAAGGTTAGCCGTGAGTTAGTCAGACATCAACAACAATGAGACTCCCCGCTTGTGGCTGCTCTAGATATTTTGCGTAAGCAGAACCGTGCCGTGTTTCCTCTTTTGTGTCTTGTTTCACTCCGCATGTTTTCACGGTTCCCCCGTGTGGTAGCATGTCAGGACCTCGTTCTCTTAGTGACCGAGTGCTATTCTGTTGTGTGGACCATGTTTTGCTTGTCCATTTATCTGCTACTGAACGTTGAGGCTGTCTTTATTTTTTGTGACTAGTGCTGCAGTGAACCTGGGTAAACAACAATCTGTAGTATTCCTGCGATTTTTTGGGGGGTGGGGGTTTTTTTAACAACAACAAATTCAAGTTCCCAAACCAAACTTGAGTTATGTTGGATTCAAATCAAAGGAAAAAGCCAACTATTAAAAGAAATACTCTTCATCTAGTGGGAGCTGAAATCGATGTGTACATTTTAAGCAAACACCTGCTGCACTTGGCATTTTTTAGAAGTCTCTCAGAGTCTACTGGGCTAAGCCTTTTGCTGCCTGTGCTGCTTTGGATTTGTTTTTTCCCCCTTCCCATTTCTCTCTCTTTGCACGCAGCCTTTTTCTCTGCCCCTGGTTCATCCACATTGGAGACTGTCCAGGCTGGTCTAGAATCTTCATGCCAGACTCCCATGTTCAGGACATCTTAATCATCACGTCTGTCATGCTGCCTTTTCTCCTGGTAACGTTTGGGTACCACAAACAGTCTCATTAAAACGTCACCATCTACTTTGAGAATACTTTTAAGTCAGCTAAGCTCCCTTAGTGCCTTCTTTTTCCTCTTTTCCACACAAATCTTACTTTCCACTTCATAAGTGTTTATCCCTGTTTTAACCATGAAGATACATACATGTGGCGGTGTTACTGCTTCGAATTTTTTGGGGTCTATGCCTAGGAATGGAATACTTGGAGCACAGGTTAACTTCTTTTTTTCCCCCTTAAGGAACCACTAGACTCTCTTCACAGTAGACACGCCATTTTCCAAGGCCACCAACAGTGGATGAGACATTCGGTTTCTCCACATTTCCCCTGACACCGATAGTTTCTGACTTTTTTTTTTTATTTTTGTGTGCGTGTACCGTCAAATCAGATCTGGCTGGTACAGGAGGAGATTGCCCCTCCTTCCTCGGCAGAGCATCTGGTGGATTTGAACCATGCGCCTCTGGGATTGTAGTTGCAGCTCCTTACCACTAGGCCACCAGAAGTTTCTGACTTTTAAAGTCAGTCACTGTGGTTGGATGTGAAGGGATCTCATCATGCCTTTTATTTGCATTTTCCTAATGATACCTGTGGAAATCTTTTCATGTGCTTATTGGCCACTTGCGTATCATCTTTGGATAAATGTCTATTCAAATATTCTATCCATTTCTTAATTGTGCTCTTTATCTTTCTGTTGTTGCAGAAGAGGGATAGGAACATTTTATAGCGAGAAAATCTCAAAATAAATTAAGCAGCCGACCACCGAGCCTGATGGGTCACTTGGTAGACTCGTTCTGGCAGCTTATAGGGGTGTCAGCCCTCAAGTCCTGCCTTTTTTGTCCATGAGTTTTCTCAGCAGCTCAGGGGTCTCGCCAGTCTCCCCTTCCTCTCTATTATGGCCTTACTTCTCCTGATTCAGGTTAAGGCCTGCTGGATTTTCACCAGTCTTGGTCCTGAGTGGAGAATTTCAACCACCAGATGTCACCTCTCACAAACACGGACCTTTTCCACGGCCTTCTGTAACGTGTGTTTCTCTCTACAGGTATTACCGAGACTACATGGATAAAGAGAAGGAGATGTGCCACCGCATGTTTGCTCCTGGTGACGATGATTTGACAGTGGAAGAAAACAGAAGGTAACGGGGGGCTAGGGATGGCGCAGAGGGTTCCAGCATTTATCTGGTGTGACAGAGGGGGGTTCTTCTCGACACACCAGGGGCCGGTGGCTGTTGGTGACCGAGGCCAGATGGGAGGACTAACCAAGTTCCTTCTCATGACAAAGGTCATGCAGAATGTGCACACAGTTCTGAATCTTCACTTGCAGGCTTGCAAAGCCTTGGGCTTTCTAAATGTTAAAATGAGTTCGTGTCACACTGTCCTTTATGACAGTCACCTGAAATAAGTGAGTATAGTCACCAAGGTGGCAGTTTAGTTGGCTCTTTAAATATTGTTTTCCTTGAGAAGCTTAGCGCTTCTGACTTGACTTACATTTGATGCACGACCTTTATGTTTGCTGTATTCCTGAAGGAGAGGAACCTGAGTATCAAGGGCTCAGGGTGGACTGTGGCTTTTACACCCTGCTGATCCCTCGAATTAGAGATTGGGAGAGGTTGGGCCCAGTGTGGAGACGCCTCGGAGCTTCCCACCACGGCACCCTGTGATTTAGCAAGCACAGGGTTAAGGTTTGCTGCAAGTGCATGAGATAACCCCTTAGTCTGGTCTGCTATTACTTCAGAAAATTAATGGAAACATAATCACCTGCCATAAACACCTGCTTAGCTGTGTTGATAACTCTGTTCTCTTGAGAGAAGTTAAACAAGGGACAACAAGAAAACAGCTGCTGAACGGGCTCATGGTGATAAATCTCTCCTTTGTTGCTACCTGCATCTCTCTACAAAAGAGGCTTGAGAAGAGGGAGTGAAAAGGCTTATTCATCCCAGGCTTTTTCTCAGTTGGTCTGTCTGCCCTGTCAGCACAGACGTAAATGTTACCTTCATCGCTAACCCTCACCCTGTGACTCTTGCCTGTAGTTCTTTTGGGGGTCATTGAAATATTTGCAGATCTTCGGGACTGAGACATCAATCTGGATACTGTTTTTGCCTGGTCAAAATGAAGGTCTGCTGACTGGCTTGCCAAATGGCTTGTGAATCGGTGTGTCCGTAGGGAGCTCTGATGGCCTAGTGGTAAGAAACTGCTGCAGCCCCAAAGGCACCTGATTAGAATCCACCAGCTGCTGAAAGGGAGAAAGGTGGACAGTCTCCTTCTGTGCAGTTTCTGACTCTGAAAACCTGCTGGAGGGTCATCTATGAGTCATTTCCAACTAGGTGGCACACCACAACTAAAACAACATAGCCAGCAGAGATTGGCTGCTTCAGGGCCCATCCTCGAACTGGGCGCAGGAAATCCAGATGGGCAAGACGTTTCCTTTCAGTCACATTTACCTTGTAGCCGCCTTGGTTAGAAGGCTTTTGTGGAGCCTTAAGAGTTTAAGATCGTTTCCCACATATTCCTGGCCCTTGTGTGTTGTCTAGGAGCCCTGATTGAGTCAAGTGTAAAATCCCAGACATGGTAGACCAACTTCTTTGCCACCAAGTCTTCCAGGCCTTTTCTTACACTGGCTGTCAGGATTCATATTAAGGCGAGTGTCAGAAACCCACCTTTAACTACTGGTGGCTGAGAAGGGACTTTATGAAGGGGTTCTGGGCTAGTTTTCTAATACTTTCTATTCTTTGGCTTCTAATACTTTAAAGAGGCCTTTTGAGCCGAATTGCCTGATTAGACTTCTGCAGCTTCTGTGTCGCTGATTGTACACCCACGCAGAGTGAAATCCCTGACAGCTCCAGTCTTTGCTCATTTCTCATGATGTTGCTTATGATTCTGATTGTGATGATTTTATTTTTCTTTATGTTGATGTGTAATCTGTACTGAAGTCTCCCATTTTTACCAAGAAGGTTGTTAATAAATCTGCCTTTAATTTTGATGGTGTGTTTTTCTTCCTACAGTCCAGTTTCTCAGATAATTTGTTCAACATACACATTTGAATTAGTGAAAGGATATAAGCCTGACAAACACCTTTTTTTCATTATTATTTGTTTTTAAATTTTTATTGTATTATTTTTTACGTGTACCGTAAAATCAGATCTGACTGGTACAGGAGGAGATTGCCCCCTCCTTCTCCAGCAGAGCATCTGGTGGATTTGATCATTATTAATTTTAATGAACGGTTTTACAGAGACTTTGGATTTCCATTCATTCAAACACCTTTTCTTAGTGTAAGCCACACAGTATCCCCTTGTTCTGTTGAATCAACTGCCCGTTAGTCTGTGTATTGGTTCTATGTGAGCACAACTAAGTGTTTTGGAAATCCCATTCTTTGCCGTGTTACTCCTGATTTGTTCTGATCCCTAAAGTGAAATACTTTTGCATGGCCAATAAAAACAATTGTACATGTAGAAGTGATCCCTTTCAACCCATATATAGCTCATGGGAGTACTCCCGTGTGCCGTCCACATCTGTGTAGCTTGCACTCTCTGTCAGTGATTGACTCATTTGTTATTCCTGATCTTGCCAGCTTATCTGGGTGCTAGCATTTGCCATTGTTACAGTTTAGTCTTGCCTCTCTTCCACAAGCTTCCTTTGCCTTGGTCATATTATGCCTTTCCCTTCACCCAAATTAATACATGCTCTGGTGACCTAGTGGTAAGAAGCTGCACTGCGATCCTAGAGGTATGTGGTTTGAATCCACCAGCTGCTCTGCCGGAGAATGATGGGTAGTCTCCTCCTGTGTGATTAACTGCTTCTGAAAACCTGCCAGAGAGTCAGCTGTGTGTCAGTTCTGACTCAACACACAACAGTAAACTGTCTAGTTAGTGGCTTTTCATATTTTTTCCACATCCCGTGTACTTTGTTCCATTTATATCCTTTTCTTTAGCTTTTTTTGTAGTGGTGGTCTTACATCGTACTTCTCCTTTTGTGTCTGACATGATACCCTCCAGGTTCATCTGTGTCATGAGGTAATATTTCGTAAGGTCGTTGTCACTCTTCCACATTGCATAGTGGTCTTCCCTGGGCACATACAGTGACTATCCATTTATCCATGGGTGGACACACAGGTTGTTGCCATCTTTTCACTGTTGTGGACGCTACCGCAGTGAACAGTGAACATGTGTGCATGCATGTATCTATTTCTGTGATGGCTCTTCTTTCTCTAAGGTAAATGCCTAGTAGTAGGGTTACAAGGGAGCATTGTTGTCCTAGTGGCAAGAAGTTGCGCTGCAATTCTGAAGGTGCACGGTTTGAGGTCACCAGCTGTTCCGCAGAAGGATGGGCAGTCTCCTCCCGTACTATTAACTGCCTCTGAAAACCCACCGGAGGGTCAGGTTGGTCCGTACTCAGTGCCATAAAACAAAACACAACAATGGGATTCCAAGCCATGATCTTCGCAGTTGTGTGGTAATATCTGAAAGTTGGGCAGCATGTAAGGAAGACGGAAGAAGAATTGATGCCTTTGAATTGTGGTGTTGAAGAAGAGTTTTGTGTTTCCCACGGGCTGCCAAAAGAACACCAAACGGTCTTGGAGGTAGTGCTGCGTGGGTTCACGTTAGAGCAAGGATGGCGACACCTTGTCTCACATACTTTGAGCATGTTGTCAGGAGAGGTCAGTCCTTAGAAAAAGACACCGTGCTGGGAAAGGGAGGGGTCAGCAGAAGAGAGGAAGACCCTCAACAGGATAGGCAGACCCGGGACTGTAAATGGGCCTGAGCGTGGTGGAGGTCGTGAGGGTGGGGCAGGATAGTGCAGGTTTCTGGTCTGTTCTTAAGGTTGCTATGAATTGAGATCAGCTCCATGGCACCTAACAACGGTGGGGTTCCTGGATCGGATGAGAACTAGAATTTCTGTCTTTTTAAAGAGGCATCATGCTATTTTCCACAGTGGCTGGTACCGTTCTCCAGTTCCGTTAATAGCATTTGAGAGTTGCATTCTTCCCACATCCTCTCCAGCATGTATTTTCTGTTTGGTGGGGTTTAATCATTGCTGTTACAGCTAGGGTGAGATGACCACTTGTTTGACTTGCCTCTCTCTAATGCAAGCATTATTACAAGTAAGTCTTCATGTATTTGTGACTGCCTAATGCCTCCTTTGCTGAGGTATGTGTTTCATGTCCTTCGCACTTTTTATAACTGACTTGTTTGCCATTTTGTTGTTGAGGTGCTGTCTATGTTTTAGAGATTAGTTCTTGTCAGATACATCTTTCTAATGTGTTTCCCTACTCTGCAGATTCCCCTTGTTTTTTCAAGCATCTTTTGGATTAGCATAGTTGTTTTCATTTTTAGGTGTCTGTTCTCTGCTGTTTGTGAATTCTTCGTTATGTTTCACATGCTACAAACCAGCTCCCCTGTTTGCCTTTGTTTTTTCGTCTACATTCTTTATAGAGTTGTAGGTTTTATATTTAGGTGTTTGTGATCCACTTTTAGCTTTTATATAAAGTGTGAGGTGTGGATCCTGTTTCGTTGTTCTGCAGATGGATATCCAGTTTTGCAAGCACCGTTTGTTAGCTGTTGTTATTGTTAGGTGCTGTGGCGTCAACTAGGACTAGTAGTGACTCTGCAGACGACAGATTGTAGCCTTGTCCTGTCTCCATTTGTGAGACTTGGCTTGGCAGTGAACTCACCATGACACTGGTTGTGTGCAGAGTATGAAGTTAGAGAAAACAATGAATTTCTCAGAAATCTGTCATCCCAGACGAGCAAAGTTTCCATTGCAGAGGCTCACCTCCAGCAGCCCTCAGGAGCGTGAGGAGATGGTTTGGAGGACACGAGGGCTTTTCCTGGTACCAGAAGACCATGTTTGCATCTCCTCAGAAAAGAGGCTAATTTTTCTGTGGGTCCTTGCTCACTCACACCTATTCACACAGAGAAATGTGGGACCTGCTTGATTTAAAGTAAGGGTTTTCTGAAAGCTCAAGCTGGGGAAACACACTTTACAAAGGGAAATCTGAGGTGGGAAGTTGCAGAAACATCTAAAATGTGAGAGCAAAAATACTTAAAGTACTTTGTTTTGATTTAAACTTACGAACTTAAGCTCGGTGTACAGCAAGCAGATTTACACTGAAATTATTTGAAAGGAGTTGGCGTAA